ATCTGGGGTAAGATCTGGGGGAAGATTTTGGGAAAGATCTGGGGAAGATCTGGGGGGAGATCTGGGGGAAGACATCTGGGGGAAGATCTGGCGAAAGATCAGGGGGAATATTCGGGGAAAAATCTGGGGGAAGATCTGGGGGAAGATCTGGGGGAAGATCCGGGGAAAGATGCTGGGAAGAATCCAGATCTGGGGGAAGATCTGCCGGAAGATCTGGGGAGGATCTGAGGGAAATTGGAGAAGGACGCGCGGGGAAGATCTGGAGGACGGCCAGCGCCCCCGAAGGCCAGAAGGCCTCGAACCTCGATCCCCAGATCTTCCCCCCAGATCTGGGGGGGAGACCAGGGCTACGGGAAGATCTGGAGGACGATCTGGGGAAATATCTGGGGGGAGATCTGGGGGAAGACCTGATGGGGGACCTGCGCGGCGATCTGGAAGAAGATCTGGGGGAAGACCTGGGGGGAAGGTCTGGGGGAAGATCTGGTCGAAAACATCTGCGGGAAGATCTGGGGGAAGATCTGGGGGAAGATCTGGGGGAAGCGATGGGGGAAAGACCTGGGGGAAGATCTGGGGGAAGAACTGGAGGAAGATCTGGGGGAAGATCTGGGGGAAGAGATGGGGGAAAGACCTGGGGGAAGATCTGGGGGAAGATCTGGAGGAAGAACTGGGGAAAGATCTCGGAGGAGATCTGGGGGAAGATCTGGGGGGGGATCTGGGGGGAGATCTGGGCGAGGATGCGAGGGAAGATCTGGGTGAAGATCTAGGAGGGGATTTGGACGACGATCTGGGTGAATATCCGGAGGGGGATTATTGGAGGAAAAAGAAGAGACGATCCAAATAACGATCTGGAGGAAGACCTCAAGATCTGCGTGACGATCTGGGAGGAGATCTGGGTGAAGATCTGCGGGGAGATCAAGGGACAAATCTAGGGGAAGATCTGAAGACAATCTGGAAGACAATCTGGAGGAACATCTGGGGGAAGATAACCGTGACCACTTTCAAAACTAGGTTTTCGAGTATCACTCGCGCGATGATGGCAGGGCATGAAATTAAACAAGGTTTTTGTTTAAGATATGATCTTAGAGTAGGCCCGCGAGACTGAGTCTGGGCATGCCGTCCTAGTTTTTGGAACTCCCTGTAAAAGAAAAATATAGAGATAAATCAAGAGGGAAAGAGAGAGAGAGAGAGCGAGAGAGAACAACGTGCATATCCGCCACCGTGCCCTGAGGCACGAGTTGGCGTGTCCTCAGTTCCTTCAAATCCTCAATTGTAAAATGCGACGGGATCCAGACCCCAAGCTGCCCGATTTCGGGGGGCTTGCCGCGTGCTGGGGCGTGCTGGGGCGCGTTCCCGCGAGTCTTTTCTGGAGCCAAGAGGGCCCCAAGACGGGCCAGGAGAGCCCCAAGACAGGCCAAGAGCTCTCCAAGATGCCCACGATTCCTCAACACTGTCGGGCTCCCCCAGGAGGCGCAACTCATTTGACCTATGTCTTCGAAGGATGTTGGCGTGGTCGACTTCTCGGGCTTCCGCCCAAGGCGGCCAAGGCGGCCCCAGACATCGCCCCGAGGCGCCCAAGAGGCTCCAAAGAGAGCCCAGCCCACAGACGGCCCGAGAGATCCCCAAGTCGGGCCAAGACGCCAACAGAACGACACAGGGCGGGCCAAGAGGGGCCCCGGAGGGAGACCGCGAACCGACCTTCCGAGCCCTCCGCCCCAAGATGACCCCGAGATCGCCCGCGGGCCTCCGGGAGCCTCCCAAACGCTGCAGGAGGCCCTCCAGAAGCCAACATATCCGGCCTCAAATGGGCTCGTCAGATGCCCCCTGGACGCCCTGAAACCGCCTTCAAGAGGCTTCCGAGAGGCCTCCCAAAAGATCCCCACACGCATCCCGCGGTAGCGGGATGCGCCGAGGGCCTCTAGATACGTACATGTGGGTCTGTACACAGACATGTGTGCATTATGTATGTATATATATATAGAGAGAGAGAGGGACAGAGAGGGAGAGAGAGAAGGAGGGAGAGAGAGAAGAGAGAAAGAGAGAGAGAGAGACAGAGACAGAGAGCTCACATGCAGAAAGGGGCGCGACGTCAGAGCCTCCGCTGGGCTGCCCTCGGCGACGCAGACTGCAGAGACAGCAACAGTGGCCCTGTGCTGCACCTCGGTGTTAACGTGCGGTCTCCACTGCGCAAGTCCGCTTCGTCATCTTTGTCATCATCGTCATCATTGTCACAATCACCATCGGCACCATTACGATCATCATCAGCAGCATCATCATCAGCATCAGCGCCAGCATCATCATCATCACCAACAACAACATCACCATCATCACCAACATCACCATCATCATCAACCTGATAATCATCCTCATCATCATCCTCATCCTCGTCCTCATCCTCATCATCAGCATACCGATCATTATCATCATCTACATCATCATAACATCATCATCATCATCATCATCATCATCATCATCATCATCATCATCATCATCATCATCCTCATCCTACTCTCCTTCGTCCTCATTATCGGCATGAACATCATCATCAACAACATCGACATCTGCATCATGATCATCTTACCGTTCCCTCCTCCTTCCTCCCATTCCGCCCCTCGCGCGCTTCGTTGCCCCGTAGGGAGCTCCACCGAGACCCCTGTGGCGGGATCGCCCAGAAGAGGACCTGAAGGGCCCCCTTTAGGGCCCTTTTCTTCACCCCCCCATTCACGACCCCCTCCCATTACCAGTGGCCTCCTGGATGGGGTCCGAGCACAGTCAACCCCGGTAGTAAGGATGCGCGATAAGGATGCAAGGGCCTTGGACGCCCATGGAGAAGCGTTTCGGGCGGGTCGCGGCGAACGAAAGCGGCCAAGGATGGACCGAGGAGGCAAGGATGCAAGGGTACCTTTGGGAAGGTTGCCTATCCTTACTATGCGGGTCGACTGCAGTGGCCTCCCAGATGGGGTCCGGGCAGATGGGGCAGGAGGATCACGCCGCAGCGGCGATGCATCGCCGTTGCATCGGCGATGCAGCGGCTCCGTCGGCGGAGCCTCGGCGGCGACGCCGGCGCGGAGCAAGACCGGGAGGAACCTCGAGCCGCATCGGCGATGCATCGGCGAGGCGGCGCGAGCCTCCGACCCCATCTGCTCGGACCCCAGCTGAGAAGCACCGAATATGACCTCGGGGGCGGCCAAGAGGGGGGGCGCAAAGCATGGCCGGCGGCATGTTCTGCGGCCTGGGGGGGGGGGGGCCTGGGACGCACCTGAAATCAGAAGAGGCCTGGGGGGGGGGGGGGAGGCGCCGTGAAAGTTGGGAAGATCTCATGGCCCCCGCCTGATTCCCCCCCGCCCTTGTTATCACCCCCCTCTTTGCCGCCCCCGATTGCCGCCCGAGCGATCCTGTTCGATCCTCGAGGCGGAGGCCCTCGGCCCTCCTCGACCCTCGGGGGCCTCCTGCGGCGCCCGCGGCGCAGGGAGGCGGACGGCCCGGGCCCGCCCCTACGGCGGGAGGAGGTGCGGAGACTGCAGGCGCCCCCCCCCCCCTCCCCGGATAGGGGGAAGGAGCGGGGGGGAACCCGCGAAAGTTGCGCTCGCGCCATCCAGTCGGCCCGTCTCAGGAGGATGCGCGACAGGGATGCAAGGGCCTTGGACGCCCGCTCCGAAGCTTCTCGAGCGGGGCGCGGCGACGTCGAAGAGGTCCGCGGTCCACGAGGAGAACGCGATACATGGCATGGCATCACATATCATAGCATTGCAGCGCAAGACATGGCATCGCAAGAAGAAAGGAGAGCCGAGGGGGGAGGGCGGAAACGTGAACGCGGGCTGCTTCCCCAAGGTCCGACGTCACGTAACATGTGCAACACCACCAAATAAGTCCATATCCGTGCGAGAGACCCAACCACATGCGGGCGCGAGTACCGCAAGGCAAATGTTATGTTGCTTCCATCGTACTTCGTCCATCGTACTTCGAACACATTTTATGTTGCCAGAAACAAATTCCGAGCACACGGAAAAGTGTCGAAAGAGTGTCGAAAGAGTGTCGAAAACCCTCGAGTTTGGGGGTATTTTTCTGGTGCTCGAAATTATTTCTGATGGTCAAGGCTAAAGTAGGTCGGAACATCACAAGGCAAATTGGCGAAGGAGGGGCAAATCCCTATGGGGCCACAGAACGTGCGAGGTGTACCGACACGGCTGCGGGGCCGCCATGCGGACACTGCCGTGAATGAAGGGGCCCCAGGACACACAAATAAATACACACAAATAAAAATATGCCCCATCTTTTCCCATATTTGTTGGGTTTTGGTTTTCCCACCCACTTCCCATATTTTTGCATATCTTCCTGGGAGTCGACGATGAATTGTGTCTGTGTGTTTCTTTCCCTCCTGAGTGAAAGCCGTCGGTGGAGCTCCCCGTGGTGCCACAAAGCGCGCGGGAAGGCTGCGCAAAAAACGGGTGCAAAGGCCGAAGGCGCACCCTGCCGTTCGGGGCCTTCGGTGGAGCTCCCTAGGAGGCCACGAAGCGCGCGAGGGCTTGGCCGAAGGAGGAGGAGGAGGAAGAGGAGGGTCCACGAAGCGTGCGATGGGCGTGCTGAAACAGCCGTGCGGGCTGGGGCTCTCGGCGGAGCGAGCTCCCCACGGGGCCACGGAGCGTGTAAATAAGCGGTGTACCGACATGGGGTCGGGACCGCAATGAGGGACCCTGCCGCTGGGGTCTGCGGCGGTGCTCCCTGTGGGGCCTCGGAGCGTGCGAGGGCTCTGCCGAAGTGGGTGCGGTACCGCCATGTAAACCCTGCCGCGGGGTCCTTGGTGGAGCTCCCCAATCGGGGCCACGAATCGAATGAGGGGTGTGCCAAAATGGGTGCGGGGCCGCCATGCGGACTCTGTCGAAGGGGCCTTCGGCGGATCTCCCCATGGGGCCACGAAGCGTGTGAGGGGTGTGCCGAAGTAATTAGGTGCGGGACAGCCATGCGTACCCTGCAGCTGGGGCCTTTGGCGGAGCTCCCACGGGGCCACGAAACGTGTGAAAGGTGTGCCGTAATGGGTGCGGGACCGACATGCAAAACCTGCCGCTGGGGCCTTTGTTGGCGGCGCGCACAAGGGGGTGGAGGGAGGGGGGAAGGCTTATCAGAGGGAGGCTGCTTCTCAGTAGGCGCCGGCCTTACATCTATCGATAAGGCCCGCGCCCTCTGAGAAGCAAGGATGCCTCTAAGAAACCCTCCCCCCGCCCTCCATCCCCCTCTGCGCGCGGCTGACTTTGGTGGAGCACCCCATGTTCGGGCGTTGGCAGAACTGGATTTAGTGGGACCTGATTTAACAATGTGTACTGAGGGACGCCCCCCCCGCCCCGTTCCACTGACCGGATCTGCCGTCACCCGAAAAAACACCAGACGTCATACCACCAGAAGATTGGAAGGCACTTGCAGACCACTCCAAGGCATTACAACGCATCATGACTTTCGTGGATCATTGTTGGCAAGGGCGAAGGGTTCCGTTAGGATGGCACAAAGCAAGGGTAACAGCAACACACAGGAAAGGAAAACATCTGATTGCGCGAACTATCGAACAATCAGTCTTCTCGCGATTGGGTGCAAAGTATTCGCGTCTTTGTTGCACCGACGTGTGGTGGAGGCAGTAGCTGAATCCAGGCTGACGGGATCGCAATTTGGTTTTCGATCGAAGCATGGGACACAAGAGGCGGTGTTTGCGCTCCGTCGGCGTATAGATTTGGAGCTTGGTACATCATCAGGTTATCTGTATGCATTGGCCTTGGATTGGCAACAAGCCTTCGACTCTCTCAACCCTTCGGCCATGCTACGCGGTCTGCGACGTTTCGGCTTGCCCGAGAACATATTGGGTGTCATAAGTGCGGTTTACAGCGACGGAATCTTCGAGTAGGAACGGCTTGAGCCAAAATGGCTACGGAGGACTCGTGCCCCAGGGGAGGCTAACATATAGGAACATAAGTAAAACATTTAGGTGGTGTTCACAGGTGAAGGACAATCTATGGAAACATACGTATAACGTCAAGGATTCGTGCTCCAGGTGAGGCCCAATCTATAGGAGCATACGTAAAACACGTGGGATTGGAGCCATTCATGTTGCCTTTTGAGACATCCTGCTCCTGGGGCCTCTCGGTGCCTCTTGTTGCCTTCCGAAGTCTCCTGACGTTTCCTGAGGCCTCCTGGGGCCTCCTGTGGCTTCCTGAGGCCTCCTGGAGTTTCCTGGGGCCTCCTGGAGCGTCTTGGGACATGTTGTGGCCTCTTGAGTCTTTCTGTGGTCCCCAGGGCCCCCCTGGAGCCTGTTGGAGCATCCTGTGGCATCCTGAGGAGAATGTGTGCCCACGAGCCTGGCCACCAAAACAAGCAAACCGAACGAGACATCCTCGAAATCTGGCCCACCTGGGGGGTGAACGTGTGCGCCTCGCTCGAGACATCCTCCAAAGCTGTTCCGAAAACAAAAACTGTTGGGACAGAAAACAAGCAAACCGCTTGAGACATCCTCACACTACGGCCGCGAACGGAACCGTGTCATACCCCTCGGCGGCTCCCATTAGGGGGGTGAGAATGAGCGCCTCGCTCGAGACATCCTCCAAATCTGCTTCGAAAACGAAAGGTGTTGGGACAAAAAACAAGCAAACCGCTTGAAACATCCCCACAAAACGGCCGCGAACGGGACCGTGTCATGCCCCTCGGCGGCTCCCATTAGGAGGGTGAGAATGAGCGCCTCGCTCGAGACATCCTCCAAATTTGCTCCGAAAGCGAAGGATGCTGGGACAGAATACATGCAAACCGCTTGAGACGTCCTTACAAAACGGCCGCGAACGGGACCGTGTCATACCCCTCGGCGGCTCCCCTTAAGGGTGCTGAAACCAGCGCCCAGCCTGAGAAATCCTCACAATCTGCTGTGTGTAAAGTAAGTCTGACAATTCGAAGGCCTGAGTATGAGTAAGTCTGGGTATGAGTGAGTCTCAGCATGAGTAAGTGAAATTTTGTGTGTGAGTAAGTCTGGGTCTGAGTAAGTCTGAGTGTGAGTCAGTTTGTGTAGGAGTAAGTCTGGGTATGAAGGGGGAGAGGGGAGGAGAAGGAGAAGGAGGATGAGGAGTAGGAGGCGTCCAAGTAACTGGATATGGGGGAAACTGTGTTTATACCATCAACCCGATGTGTT